ACACTAAATGAATAAATGAAATGTGTTTTCTGAAATACTGTTTGTGAATTAAAATGTTCCATAAGATAGAAAGAGAATTGAGATTGAATGTGAACATAGGACAGGCAAGATCACTTTAGGCATCCATTTGCAAGTGAGTTTTGTGATAAGCTGAGAAACTACAGAAAACAATGCTGAAAGAGGCATGAGGCTGGTTTCTTAAATATTAGAAATATCAGTGTGAGTCTGATTGAATTTGCTTCATGCTTGACGTATGCTGGGCTTCGTCCAGTGGGGTCTCACTGCACCAACAGGGGAGCAAAATAGTGTAATAAGTAAGGAAAAGCATGTGTCTGGTAACAGACCTTTTAAAATGTATGCCCTATAAGTGAATGCAATTCTCACAAACAAATCCTCAACGTCACTGACTGTGATATCAGCCTTGTTGGTAGTTGTAGTTAATTTTGCGATTTGGGGAACTGTTATAAGCTGTTTGCACATGGAGAGAATGCAGGTGCATGTTGGTAGTGTTCAAGAAGTTCTGCTGCTCTCCGTTTAATTGACAAGGCACACACCTTGGAGGAGAGCGGCTGGCAGCAGGGACATGCCTTAATAAGCTGCAGACAGAGTCCAGATAAGAACAGACAAATCTGTGAACTAGGACAGTGGCAATGGCAACAGAAAGGAGGGCAGTTACACAAGAGATTTCAGAGGCACAGGAGCCGTCATGATTCATTAGGTGTGGGAGGCAGAGACATGACTCTGAGTGTTCATGCCTGGCTCACAGGGGCCATGGTGGTGCTGTTGCCAGATAATGAACCATCAGGAAGAGATGGGGTTTGGACAGACGATTGTTAGATCAGGCTTTGGGATGATAAAGTGACTGAACTGAAGGCACTAAGTGCTACACTAATTTACCACCTGGAAAATATTCCCCTCGAGGGACGGCACAGAGGTACTGATAGTAAATAAGATGACTTGGGAAGTAAATTCGAGGACTATGAAGAGGCAATGGCTTAACTAGGGAGGAATTCTTTCCTATACAAACTTCTGTATCTAGTTTATAAAAAGTAGGGGTAAAAACTTCAGTGCTAATTGTAGTACATTCTGCCTTTTCTTCTCTTTCAACACACTCAGTTTTGGAAGCAGAAATGCACATACCATATATATAATATTAATTTAGTTTATTATACTTTATAGTAACTCATGTTCATACTAACTGCTTCTGACACGTTACTTTTGGTAATTTAAAAAAAAAACTGTTCATTTAGCTTGTTCAGTAAACTAAAGAAAAGTAGCACCGAGAAAAGGGCTCCAGCTTCAACCATGACGAACCAGGAGTCATTGTGCCCTGTCTTCCCACACAGTTTCCCGACATTCTATAAATGAGCAATATCATTAGAGTCATACACAACGCTCATCTCCAGCAACTTGGTGTCATCAGCTGTGGGAAGAGGCTAGGCATTTGTGATGTTAGCTTGATATGAACCTGGAACATTCTAGCTTTGATATGTCACTTTTCTCCTAATTACTCAATAAACCTCCTCCTCTAACCAAAATTGCAGAGAACGCACTGGTCTTCCAGCTTCTCTTGACTATGCTCTCAAATCATCAGGTTCATAATGCCTTCCGTTCCACCTTGCTTGCTCTACATCTGTCTAACTGCTCTCTTGAGTCTCGCAGCACCTCCCACCAGTTCTTTTACACTGGATTTTCTAGAATTTTTTTTTCGAGTCAGGGTTTCTCTGTGTAGCTTTGGAACTTGACCTGGACGTCACTTTGTAGACCCAGCTGGCCTCGAACTCACAGAGATCCACCTGTCTCTGCCTCCAGAGTGCTGGGATTAAAGGTGTGTACCATCACCAACCAGAGTAGTGTCACAAGCATCAAGGTGCCCTGTTGGTACTGATGCTAGTTTTCGACTCAGGCTGTATTTTCAATGAGGCCCTTCAAATTGAAATGCACAGGGAACACACATTTTTAAAAGGAGAGCAAAGAGTAGAATGAAATGGTGACTGTGAAACCTCACACCCCCACACATAACTCCACATGAAGCTGAGTTTCATGAAGAGAAATTATTATAACAATTCTAGCATTCACCCTCCCTACAGCTTCACTGTGGCTTCCTTACAAAGCGTAATGTTGTCATGGGACTTTGCTTATTCTTACCACGTTTAAAGGGATTGGACTCTCTTCTGTACATTTGTCTTAACAAATGCCCTTAGGCAGTATCCAAGTTACATGGATGGGGGAACCTATACTAGGAATTTACGATGCATATCAGCCTTTTTCTGCTGCTATTTGTGCTGAACATCTTGCTGAAACACAATGAGTTAACAAAAAGCATGCTAGTCATGAGTTTGTGGCTGCTGTTTTAGGGTGTTGGTACAAAAATAAAAATGTGAATATAAAGCAGAACTTAATCCCAGTTTCTCTTTCTGGAAGAGATAACCACTGGAGATTATTTTTATATTACTTTTATATATTGGAGGCTTTAGTTCAAAGGCAGTCTTGAGATTTGTTTTTCAGCTTGAGCCAAATGGAAAAAAGATGTTCTAGTACAGGATGATCAGGATCCCTGTGAGTGAAGGAACAGAAGGCCACCTTTCTCCACGCACTCAAGCACTGTTTCAGCCTCTTTACTTGCTTTTCCAAAACAAAAGAATCGAATAAACATGTCAGTGATGAAAGACATGCAAGGGTCAGATGCTTCTGTAGTTTGGAGAATGGTACGCTGAAGGATTTATTTTGAAATTTAAGTTTCACTTAGTTCCTGATTCTTCTCATCTCTGAGTAGCAGAGACAGTACTTTCCAAATAATTCAATACACAATTCATGTCCTATGAATTTTGCAAAAAGGAACTATAGGATATCTGATTAACACTTAGGTATATAATTCAAAGTCTTTTCTTAATATAATTGATAGCATGGTGGAAACCTAATATCTTAAATTGGGACATATTTAAGTCGATATAATGGCACTGAATACTCTGCACAGAGCCCACATTCAACTTTTCAGAGTTCAAACAGACTCCACATAGGAAATGTTCCTCCTTTCAAAATATGTCAAGTTTGCTCCCAAAGAGAGTTTTGAAAAAATAAATCATAGCATCTATATTAGTTGCTTTTATATTACTGTGCAAAAACACTATGACCAACATATTTTTATAGAAGAATTTATTGGGGACTTACAGTGTTAGAGGATGAGTTCATGGACCATCATCATGGGGAGTGTGAGAGCAAGCACTCCAGCAGGGTGCCAGTACAGTACTGGGAGTTTGAATATTGACACACAGTCACAAGGCAGAGCTAACTGTACTGCTGGAGGCTTTTGAAATCTGACAGTCTACACACAATGAAACAGCTTTTATTGGTTAGGGTTACTTTTGTGGCAAAACAACATGACAAAAAACAAGTTGAGGAAGAAAGGGTTTGTTTGGCTAGATATCCTGAATCAAAGTCCCTTGAGGGAAGCAGAGGCAAGAAATCAAACTAGGCTGGAACCTGGAGGCAGGGTTGGACTGGCTGTGGAGGATTCCTCCTTACTGGCCTATTCCCTGTGGCTTGTTTAGCAGGCTTTTGTATAGCTCACAGGATCACTAGCCTAGGAATGGTAAAGCCATATTAGGCTGGGCCCACAAATATCTATCACTTATTAAGAAAATGTCCTGTGATCTTGCTTACAGCCCAATCTTACTGAAGCAATTTCTCAGTTAAGATTTCCTCCTCTCAGATAGCTTTAGCTTGTGTCATGTTGACATAAAACTATCCAGCATATTCTTCTTTCAGCAAGTCCACACCTTCCAACCCTTCCTAAACATGTCAACTAACTGGGGACCAAATATTCAAACATGAGTGTATGCTAATTTTTCTTGTTCAGACCACACTGCCATTAAAAGTCATGGTACTTCATATAAAACATATTGACTTTCAACTTCTCTGAATAATTCAATGCCATGGCTCTTTGTACTCAACAAAATGCAGTTTTAGCTACATTTATGATTGACAGCTCTCTAATGCCAGTATTATTTTATGTATAATATGTACATATACGTATATATCATATACACATACTCTCAATGAGTACTTCTTTTAATACATATGAAGCAATTGGGAAAATTGGTCCCATAAGAATTTCAGATAATGTCACAGTATCTACAGACAATGCCTGATGCAGTGCGACAAGACAGGTCTATGCAAATGCAAAGCGTGTTATCTTCACCAGTTATGAAGCCAGGAAAAAATAGTTAAACTGAACAGTGATTTCCAGACACAATAATCCGGATGCACATATGAACTCAGAGTAACTGTAACAGCGACAGCATGCGTAAAGACTCTGCAAGCTCCAGCCAGAACAAATCCCAGCATAGAGGGTGGGAGGTGAGTACATAATTCTTTAACTGAGGAACTATTAAAATTTGATAGCCTCTGGTAGAGGAGGACTCGGGTTTTTTGGTTTTGTTTGCTTGTCTTATGATGGGACCTCCGATAGACTAACTTTATACACTAGACGAGACCACAATTCCAACATTAATTGTGCAACAGAAACTAGGTACAAAAGGAAAAAAAATTAGTAATCACAAAGTTGGGTGGGAAGGGGTGAAAGCACAGTATGGGTGGGATTAGAAGAGATTGAGTATGTTAAGTCTCAAAGACTTAACAGAAGTATTTTTAAAATATTAAAACGTCTACTTTATTTACTTTTGTGGTTATTGAAAATGTTTCTATTTCAATATACTAAGAAACATACTCCCTAAAAGGAATAAATTAATTTGCAGCTAATAAACATTTCTTTTCACAAATAATTGCAATAAATTTTATAAAATTAGTAAATAAAGGGCTAGACGATTTTAAATTCAATTTGCTTTGAATTGATCGGTTACATGTATCTTCATCTGTGCTACTAAAATACCAAGAAATCAATATGCCTCATGGTCTTTCTAAATATCATGTAGAGATCTGCATCAAAATGCTTTGCAAAGAACATGTGTCCCTTAAAATTCTTCTCAAGGGAAACTTACCAGAAGTTGTCTTCACTACTTCAGTGGTGTTCCTCAATCCAACAAATGAAAACTGGTAGAGCCTCCAAGATCGTGTGTCACCCACTTCAACAGAACTACGCTTCCACTGGTAAACAATTTCTTCACGTGGATAGCCATCTACCATGAGATGAGAACACTCAGGTTAAATGCAGCAGCAGAGGGTCACAGGTAGCATTACCTTCTTTGAACAAGTTGTAGATGCTAAGGGAGGCAGCACTGCAAGTCATATAAGGACCCTGGACTGAAAGATACTGTTCTGTGCAAAATTAGCAAAATTCTTACCACACCCTGCTGGAAAAGACTGGAAGTAACAAAATCAATGCCTTTGGAAAATCACTTTTAATTGCATAGAGTGTAAAAAATAAATGATGTTCTAAATATTATATCTGTACTTTATATCACCTTAGATAATACAAAGATGTTCAGTATAAAATAAAGATTAAAAATGTAAGATAGTGTTTCATAGTGAAGTCTTGCCAATAGTTCAAGATTTTGAGAGTCATGTAGACATAAGAAATAAAGAGAAAGGTGCAATAAAGGTATTTCTCCAATTCTTAATATCATGACCATTTACGCTATCATATCAAGTTATTCAGACTCCCTCTCCCCCACTCTTTTGATCTGACTTTTGTGGATAAGGATTGCAAAATAAGCAGCTCATGTTGGCTTTGAACCCATCATCTCATGCACCCATCTGATTATTAGAATTACATGACTAGTGTGTGGCAAAGAACAGGAGAAGAGGAAATGTGGGATGGTATTAGGATGCAATTTGGACTCAGTTTTAAGATAAATAGAAACAGAAATTTGAAGCTAATATGTAGAATGCCAATGGGAACACAAAAAAGACCATAGTGGAATAAAAGATCTTTACAAAAAATAGCATTACACTGGCAATCAGGGCAGAGTAGTGACTTTGAGTATGATTTCCATAGTTATCATAGGAATTTTCTTAACTGTTTGGTAAAATAATTCTTAACAGTGATTATCATAATTACTGTATTACAGAACTGATGGACAGTGAACATTTCCTTACTGGACAATATTATTATGAATTAGCTGTGTGCTGTGTGAACTCCTTTAGTCAATAACCTTTAAGATACTGGCCGACTTTGGGACTGGACTCATGTACTATAAATACAGATGAAAAAGTGTGTAGGGGGTGGGTGGAGGTTTAGACTGCTGGATTCGGTTCTAGTTCCCAGAGCATGCAGAGTACTGAGGGTCACTACTCCTTCTGTGAGTTCACCCTCTAACAAATAGACCTTTATTATACTCCTTTCTGGACTAATGTAGAACTATTTCATACCACAACAACTGTGTACAGAATTTTCTCAGTAAAATATTAACTTAATTAAAACCAAGAGTGGTAGCACGGAAAAAGGTCCTAGCTTCACTCTCTCATATGGCCCCAAATGGATGAGTGCATGAATGAATAAGTAAGAAAAGAAAATTATTTAAACTATTTGTATATTAATAATAATAAATAAAGATAACCCTTGACTATAAAGTATGCTTTTCCATTTTAATAAAATATTCTTTGCTTTACACTTTTATTTTAATTTCGGTTGAATCCTTGTTTACTTTTGGAAAAGAGAGCAGGTAGATGATATCTACAACAAAGCGGGTACATTTGTAGCCACACTGAGGATGGGAAAAGCATGGTGTCCCAAGGGAACACTGAGGGGAGTGTAGTGGTGACTGATTTTCTTCCAGCAGTAAGCGACATTACATCGTGTGTGAGTGTTCGTGTGTGTGTGTGTGTGTGTGTTCAGAGGACATTCGTTAATTGTAAGTTCATGGCACAATTATTTCCTGTTTTTGAGTTTCAACTAACTCAAAAGAATAGCAACTCTACTTGGTTAGTAACAGACAGTAAGGCAATTCTCTCTGAAAGTGAGGGGAATGTCAACTTTATAACTGAACACATTTTTCTCAAATAGATAAGTATGAAATCAGGTATATAATTGAATGTTTTCTAAATTTATATCATGTGTGTTTATGTCCTTGGAATTGATGACTTGATGACGGAGGATTGCTTCTCTTACTATTGGTCTTTTAAAATTAACTATGACTATGACTTTATTGATCTTAGGAGTTTCCCTAACTCCCTCACAGAGAAACTATGTTGATGAAAATATATCCTTCAAAATGCATAAATATTTTTATGTATTCAATTATGTCTAACAGTAATATGAAAAACAAAGCAGAGAAGGATAATCTTTGTGAATGATCAACAAATAGGAAAACATTTAGAAAACTGATGCTTGTTTGGTTTCAAATATCTGTACAGAAGAGTTAAGGCTTAATTGGTGGTAGGATTGTCAAAGATCCTCTTGGTAACATATTATCTAATGAAAACAATAACAATAATTCATGTTTTTATTGTGCTGACATGTCATGCACTTTTACACATAATATACTAACAGAAAGGTGTTAATGTGGGGCACATCTTGCCTAAGAATATGTTAAAACACTCTTCTGAGTCCACTGAATATGGGAAGTGGAGGTATAGACTCAATCGGTGTTCCCTTTCTATTGAGTTCAGACCTGATCTTAAAGTCCTCTCAACAGTGACTCTAGGAATCCATTATCTAGCTTCTAAAATTTCCCACTCAATGAATTCTATTGCAGAGATTTTCTTAATTGGTATAATTTGGAATAACAATAAAAACGATTTCAGAATCAATAATATAGGCCGTGGCCAGTATGCAACTTCTATGATTCATTACATTAATTAATGAGGTTATCAGCATGACTACAGGTGACAGGGCACAATACAAGAGAGCACTGCTTACAACTGGAGAACTCCAGGGGGCAGGAGTGTTCGTCCATGGGGAAGTTGTGCAACTGCAGCTGGCACTCAGCATCAATTGTCAGCCTACGTAGAAGGACAACAGAGAAAACCACCAGCATCAATTCTAAACTGCACACCGGCATTTTTTCTAGAACAATCTGACATCCCTATTGATAATACAGCATGATCCTCAGTGGAAAAATAATTCTAAATTCCAGGTTAAAAAATTATTTCTAGTTGAAAATTTTCATATAGCAACAGAACCATCTACTTCGGCTCAACTCAATTTATTCAAAATATGTGATTCCTTGTTTTGTATCTTATCTTATTTATTTTTAAAAATTAATTGCACACACTGGAGATTTCTCGGTGAATATATTTAACTTGTTTAAGAGAACAAACTGTTTTCAGAACTTAAGCACATTTACTGTACATCAATATGAATGCTTGCAGTTCTCTGATCTTATCAGCTAATTAACACAAAGCCTTCTGTTGGCAAGAACTTGCTGTCTTTAAATTGCCATAGGTGGGTTTTAAAATGCCTCTGCGGTGCAATGGACTTGTGTGCATTTTTACAAGAGAACACCATGAAGCCATCAAATAGAATGCTATAAAGGAGAGGGTTATCTAAACACAAAAAGAAGATACTAAATGCACATACACTGAGAGACTGGGAAAGTCTTAGCCAGTGAATCCCATTTTGCACAGAATTAAAGCCTAAAGAATTGGGAGATTTATGCACTGGACTGAGACTCCAGGAGTCTAAATCTAAAGGAGCACAGATATTCTGATCTCCTTTGCAGATGCATGGGAAAAAGTTACACTGTAATGGTGATGGTTGGTAGTTTTGAAAATATTCATATCTGTGAGTTGCATTTCTTATAACCTACAATGCCACTGCTTAAGTTATAAAATTGTTATTTTATAAAAATTAATTTAAAAGAATTTCCAATTGACAGAACTTTTAATTGGGCACATTTACATTTTTGTAGTGTAATAAAGCAATTAATGATTTTGTGTATCTTTAATTGCATATAAGGCATGGGCTAAGTGAACTTCTTCCTAAAAATGTACCGTTAGTGCTCTGTAGTATTTGAACCTCCTCAAGGTCACATGACCAGGGACACGTCACAGGACTTGGACTTACGCTTACCACTCTTCATAGCTGGAGAATTTAATAATTTTCTCCTTATGATTTTTTTCAAAGAAAAGCTTGGCTTTATTCACAAATGAGATTTTAATAAAATTTTATTTTTATTAGAATTTTCTCTTGGAATTAAAGTGAAATTATTACAAATTAAAGATAATTGCAGATGCAAATACAGACTCAGAAATATATAGCCCTATCCACGTCACATACATATACAGACACTTTCAGTTCATATAAGGAACTAAGCTAAATCATCTTTCTTTCTCTCTGTTCTTACAATGTCTCAAGTCTTAAGCAGACCACAACTGGCAGGTTTAGGATACTTCCATAATTAAACACTATAGTGCTTCCTCAAATTAATAAAACTAGAAAATGACTACAACATTATAAAATGATAAGACCTGAGATATGGTGAATGATTGCATATTTCAAAAGCCAGTTTGAGCTCTGATGTATAATACAGACTTTGATTTTCACATTTTACCTTATCAGTAATTTAATAAGTTTCCAGTGACTTTAAAATCTACACAATGGATTACTTTTGCAGTTGGAGCCATTTTTCTCAATAACTAATCTAACTGGCAAAGGTTCAGGCAATTTTAAAATATTATGGTTCATATATTCAGTATTAAAATTTATAAGACGTATATTTTACTGGTACCTTTTACATGCCAAAACCTAGAAATGTGCTATTTAACTTTCTGCTAATATACAAATAATTTTATGTCTGAAATACTTATGTATCATGCCCTGTAGTTAGCATTGTACCCATCACTCTTTTCACTTCTAACAAACATGTGGGTAAGATTCTTACCTGACAGCTAAGAAGTACTAGCTACAGTTTGAAGGCATTAAAGAATAGGAGGTAAGTTAGTGGAAGGTAAGAAGACGTACACACATCACAGAAAGTAGGGGCTCTACCTTTTCTAATAATTTATATCTTTGTTTGCTTAATTAATCGAAATAGAAAGTGTAACACGAAAAATGTCATGCTTCTTATGTAGAAAAGAACTTTAATATGCATTCTAGAATCAAGTCCCTCCAATATGTTCTGTACCTAGAAAATTCATGGCTTCATATGACAACAAGAGAGAAAGCAAAGAGTCACATGCTTCCCTTTCTTTCCATCCATCCTTCCTTTCTGAAAGCATAGGGTTAATTTTGTTCTTTTATTTCCAAGAAACAACTTTTTTCCCTTCAAAAATACCTTAAGGTATAGAGAACTCGACCATCATTCCAAATTCTCAGCATCCTGTTGGGAGTGGTGATCCAATGAGCATCGGCCTTTTTGGAGTTCCTGAAGAAAGTGTCTGGAATCCAGATTTTCCCCACCATATTGCTGTTCAACCGGAGAACTTTAATGGTACTGTTAAATTTCAAACGTCTGTCATACCAGGTTTGGGCAAAAAATATATCAATTGTATATTCCTGTTTGAAAAAGAACAGAGGAGTTAGAGTGTTTGTGTTTCTCAGTCCCATGCTTATTGCCAGATGAGGAAGAGTTCTTTGGGTGTTGAATAGCTCAAAAGGAATTAGCAGCTTTCCTGATGAGATCACTACCATATCTGGGTTTAACCTTAGTTTCATATAGTTCTGATTTCTGGCCAAATAGCCAATCCTTGGTGAGTATGTGTGCATGTCTGTGTGTGTCTGTGTATGCCTGTGATTCTCTGTGTGTTTGTGTATGTGTCTTTGTGTATGTTTGCATCTCTCACTGTGTGTGTCTGTGTTTGTTGCATGTGTATCTATGTGTGTGTCTGAGTATCTTTGTGTATGTCTGTGTCTATGTCTGTCTATGTGTGTTGTGTATGTGTGTGTCTGTATGTGTGTGACTCTTCATTTTTTACTCTGGGTTAGTTTTCTTACTAAATGCTTTTCACTCGTCAGATGATTTATATTCCAATTTCTGTCAATAATCCAAAGAATCAAGTATTATAATAATAAACATTATCTTAAATTATGTAGTATCCTTATGGTTCCAAATAACCATTCCTGAATCTTGCATTACTTCATTGCTTACACCCTGCCACCTTGTGCACCGTTTAGTTCAGTGCTTGAAGGTTAATTTTTTGAGAGAGCAACCAGTTTTAATAACTATTTTTAACTAATTAATGCTGAGCTGAGAAGTAAAACGAGAACACACCTTAGTAACAAACAAAATGAAAATTAAAATACAAGGATGAAAAAACAACATTTTACAGACTGAGGGACAGAAACCATCATTCTGATACCAAGATAATCTCTTTCAATATATTGTCAACAATGACAAAGCTAAATTATTTCTTGCCGACTGTCTTTCAATATTTAGCGTTTGTATCAGGATACTGAATATGTAAAAACTGAGCATTATTTTCATGATTATGTAAGTTTTATATCATTTTATCTATGTCTCTATATTTATCTGTATAGAATAACTTTATTCTATCATGGCAAATGCCAATTTTCAATCATAATATCACAATAATTTGTCATATTATTATACTATATGCTGTGCACTGAAACGGTATTTTTCTGCTATGTATTTTGACTGCATTTGCTTCTTTATTTTATTTTACCATATTATTTATATTAAAATATACTATAAATTTATTCACTTCAGAATTAGGCTGAAAATATTATAAGTATGAATATTTACTCTGGAAAAGATTATATTTTGAAGCAAAGTATAATTTCTACATCATCAATCTTCTAAAACATAAAATAGTTTCATATTTTGCTGTAGGCAGCAACTGACAGGTTTACAGTGATTGTTGAATCAATATTAAATCAAAGTTAAACTCACTGATTTTATTTCTAATAGTGTTTGAGTTTTATGACAAAAATCCTTAAATTTTTAACTGCTTCAAGTGACATGAAAAAAGTCGGTCTTTAAGTTTATCTTTCTTTTGCTAAATTTTGGTTCCCCTTTTTAAAAAGTCCATATTATTTCTAAGCTAAAAATAAATTATACTGTGAAACTCACCATATTGATAGCATTCACTGGGCCAATGCTGTTCACATACATGTCCGTGTGAATTAATGTCGGTTTTACTGCAAGGAAAATTAGAGGGATATAATTTTTTGTTTGCTTTTTACCAGGAAAAAAACAATCTTTTTTGTCTGTTTCTTAGCCTACCCTCACTCAGCTGCATTAGAAATGATCTATGCAGGAGTAATTCAGTACTAATCAATACTTTAGATTTTCATAATGATTTTTTTCAAAGAAATATCTCTTTTTAAGGATGTTGTTTCAAAAAGCAAGTGTAGTAGTTTTTGGCTTTTCTTTGTTAAAGTATACAAGAGTGAAGAATAAAAATTCTTCTTTTTGTTTGTTTTTCTATAGCATTCTTTCAGATATCCTGATTTTTATCATTTTTTCTCTCTGAGCTCTAGAAACTGTCTGTGCCTCCTGACCCCACTTGATTGATGTATACAGACACACGATTACTAAGTGGCAGGGGAACTATGTATTAAAAGTTCAAAATAGACACAAACAGCATAATGTAACATTGCTCTTGTCAATTCTTTGACCACCACTTTGCCCTCATACATCTCCACCCCACATCAAATTGAGATCTTCACTAATGACCTACTGGGTTGCTGTAACTGTGTAGATAGAAGGAAAGTGCCAGCAAGCCCATTACACACCAATCTGTTAGACAGAACTAATATCAAAAATAGGTGGTGTAATGCTTATGATCAAATGAGTGTGATCTATATTGATTTAAAATTTAATTAGTAGAAGATACATGAGGTCCTTCTGGGCTTTAATTCAAGCATTCTTATCTATTCTTATTCATTTTCCTTGAAAGTACCATGCCCAAACTCTCTGTGACAGATGGAATTCTTCATCAACGGTGACATCTAAACCCTTCACTTCCTGTGATGGAGGCTACTTCGTCGTCTCTTGACTTTGGGGTTGGTGGATCTTACTTGGACAGATACTGTCTGTACAAAAGTGAATGACAATTCGAAGCCCAAACATCAAGGATGGTGATGTTTAACCATCTCTCTTTTTCTTTTCTATTACCATGAAAAAGATTCTCACAGTTCACACCCTGATTCTGAAGTAGAATGAGAGACTATCAGATCCGGTTTGACTAGGTGTAGGTTAGTCCATCCCCCACTATGATGTCAAATATTGCTTATTGCGTGTGTTTCTGAAATTTTAGCTGGGTATTACATAGTTGTGTCTACCCAATACCTTCTCTGCTATTGTTCATTTTGATTTCTTTTCTCTCTGGTGTTATTTCATCAGGAGTTTTGATGCAACAACAATAACAACTTCTTAAAGACTAAAATCTTTGTAATATCTGGAAAATATCTAGCGGTTGTAAAGTCTCACCATTGCTACCACCAGGCTTAAATGCTATTTACATATCCTTTCTTTATATTGAAAATTGTAGGATTATAATTTTAAACTTTCTGGCTCTTGGAATATAATGATGTGATTTTCTAATTAAGTATCTAGACCTGGTGGGTCCCCTTTACAGCACAGAACTCAAATCGTCTTCATACCTCCTATATCAGGCCGGAGTTTGTTGTCATACCCTTCCAGTAGGTTGTTTAAGATGACAGTGACGTCACCCTCGGGAACCTTTGGAGTCAACACCCATGTTTTATTAGAAGTGTAATCTTCATAATCATCGTCTGATTTTTGGCTAGTGAAGCTAAGGAAAGAAAAGTATTAGTCACTAAACACATAGACTACACCTGAGTTAACTTCTACCATAAACCGACCAGAGCAAAGGAGGAATGAGGCAGGATTGCGGGAGTGAAGGGAGACTGCAAAAAGTTTACCTGATGGTTAATCTAACCAATTAAACTGTGCAGATGGAGATTAAAATGCATTAAAATGTTTCTTACAGTTTTCCGGAGTGCTTTGCCCTCCTGTCTATGAATAAGACATGTGTTATCTCTTATTTTTGCCTTTCAATGATTGTTGTTCTTCTCACCCACATACCAAGCCTCATTAAAGACATTTTTTAAAAAAATTGTGAATGTGATATTTAAAATATTGTAAAGCAGTCTAATAATTCAGCCATAATGTCTCCTTATTGCTCTTTCCAGAAGTTATCTTATGCCAATCTATTAATAAAACTAGGGGAGTGATTATTAGATTCACTCGCACAGTCCTCAGTTGAGCCCCTCTTCCTCCACCTGAGCCACTTAGGAGGAGATCAGGCTGAGTGCTTTCTTGTCCCCCGGGCTACATGATGTGTATTTTCTCCACTTTCTTGTACTGAAGGCTCGAGTCATTCATTTATCTTTCCTTGTTTTGAAAAGTGTACTACGAAGAAAAATGTAGTTGCAGGTTTTAATTCATCGTTTGTCACAGCAATATTAACTGAGCTGGATGTACTGTAGTCATATGAATAAAATTAGCTGTTCTGACTGATCAAATAGTCTCGGGATATACTGTCAGTCAGTATTATATGATGAAACCAGGTGGAAAATTCCTCGTAATTGACAAAGGGAGAAATGAATTCAGAAGGTGAATTGAACTCTGTGATTTATATATTCCTCTGCTCTAAGTTCTAGCTCCTCCCCTCGCACATGCAAAATTACTGTATTTTTCCAGGTCTAGAAAAATGTAAGTTCTGGCCAAAACCTCACCTTTCACTTTCATCAGTACTCCAGAAATCTGGGAATTGTGAAAAATTAACATATAAATACTGACACCAAACCCTTAGTTTTAGCTTAATTTTCCTAATTATGTTAGAGAATGGATACCACTGGATAGCAGATTGTAACTTTTCCCTGAATGTATAAATAGATTTTAGAAATTTTTTATTACAGTTATTTATTTGGAGTTATTTATTCGGGAGTAAGAAAGTGTGACATGACACACCTGTGAAAGTCAGTGTTTATGAGAAGGTCAGAAATAGCCCATGGTACTCTGTTCTCTTCTTCTACCATGTGGTTCCTGGGGTCAAGCTAGGGTCATGAGGCTGGGTAGCAAAGCCTGTACATGCTGAGACATGTATTCTTTCCTCATGCCAAATTTCACATTTCCTCAACCATATAAATTACTGAAATATTTATTTACACAATGTGGATTCAGTAAATAAGTTTGAATATATGTATAGTTATACATAGGGATATAACATTGCAAATGTGTATATACACGTCAATGGATAGACAGAAAATAGATGATCAATAATATGTAGATGTACAAAGTGGTAGAAGAATGGTGACTGAGTTGTTAACTTTGCTTGCAAAGAAGATAGAAGGTGATGTTTTAAGACGAACACTGACTAGTTAGATTAGCTTAGGGAGCAAGGACAATAATCTTGGGTTTTTTTATAGCTTTGGGAAATAATATTTAATATTAAGTAAGTATGGAAAGCCTTATAGGAATGCACTAGTTAGTAAATTAGTGTGCATGTGTGTACGTGCACGCAGTTCACATGATGTTCTTGACTGAGCAGAAAATGCTTCTCACCAAAGATACATGTTATTAAATGAAAATCATAGTATAACACATGGAATACTTTCATACAAGTTACTATGAATACCTCAGAGTTCTCCAAAAACAACAAACACTATCTTGGTTTTCCACCAAAACCACATGATAAAGACCCTTTGGCTAAAGATACCACACATTTTGCCTATAAGACTAAGAGAAATCAATCTCAAACAAACTGGGAAAATGCCCACACGTTGGTTAGCTTTTACAGTGCCAGAAAGAGCTACGTAGTCTGTTAAAGGAGAAAAGACATCAAGGGCCTAACCTGTCCCTCAGTGCTGCATATTGATCTGCCATGCAAGAATACACCTGTGTAGACTAGTCACTCTTATGGGGTAACTTTCTTATTAATTTGGGTTCTCATCCTCCAGGGGGAATCCACGCCTAGTACTATAATCCTGGGTCAAGACCCGTTGTTGGAGAAGTTACACGCTCTAGAGTAGTACCTGATGTTATTATTATCATCATAAATTGTCAAGCTGTTTCCTGAAGATTGTTTACACCCTCAGAAGTAGACTACTCTCAGGGGAATGTGTGTGCACGTGGGAGTCCCAGAGTGAGTAAAATCATGGCATCCATATATAAAATTCTCAAGCAATATATTTTGTGAAATATGGAAATTATATAGCTAGAATGTATTTATGTATAAAATTCTCCACCAAAAAATTTACAAAAACAATGAAGTCCATGGACAAAACATCTACAAAGACCCTGTTTTACATTTGTGTTAATGAGCATAGGAGCTCCAGATAAGCATTCCTTCCAGAGCACCTGTACTGGATAGGGTGGACTGGCAGAGTTTCAACCACCTCTCCAAAGAAAGCAACCTAGACTCGTTTTCTGCTAGAAAATTGCTTCTAGGGGCTCAATTCCTCATTTCACCAAAGCACTGCTAAGCACTACCTAAATGAACTCTAATCCTATGACCCAGTTCTTACTACTGTGTTTGGGGGGAGGCTTTCAAACAAGAAACTTCAATTTATATAGTTCATGAAGAAAAGAATAGTGTTAGTCCATTAAAAGTAATCATGATAGTATTTCATTACTATATTAATCCATGCAAAACTGTAAGTGCCTTTTAAATCTTTTAACTCTTACCCTGCTTCCCTGTCAGTCATTGGGATTCCATTTTCTTTAATATAAGAGGATGATGATTAGGCTATTTAATTTGTTTATAGAAATTCTCATGCTAATAAATAAATATTCCAAGCACAGTGGTACAATATTGCTATTATTTTTTACTGTCTCCAACTGAAATCAAAACTTTATTTAATGTAGAAATAAAATAGGCTTGATTAGAAAAAAAATACTGAACTTAATGACTTTCTCAATTTCATCACTTCCCTACCAATTGTTGAAACAAAAATCTGATTATTAAAAATGAATACATCAGTGGTAGTTTTATTTCCATACTTCAGAATGCTCAAATAGATACTGAGAGAAATTAAAATACAACAAAAAAATAAGAAACAAATATTTAGGAGACAAGTAAATCTGGTTTACCCTCCATATTCATTCTCACTTTATTGTCTGGAAAAATTTACTTAAACTTAGAAAAACCAGACGTTTTTGTCTTTAAGCGTGGGAGATTATCCATATTCATATTACACTGTATAGGAATATGATACTTATTCAGCGTCTAGGTCCATAATTATTATGGTGAGGTGACCATTGCTAGGCTGAACAGAATGGTTCTAAATGTGTAACTAAAGCGTGAATCCATAGATGCTGTTTCAAGGCATTTACCTAACATTACTTCAGAAGAACTAAAAACAGATGCTTTCCAGGAGGAAAAATAATGAGCCCCTATATTATAAATAAATGAGGTTTAGTTTCTCTACAGCTCTCCCAGCTGAAATCTAAATTAAAGGGGATGATGCATGATCTGGGATCATTTCCAGATTTGTCAAAAATAAATAAATAAGAGGCAAAAACCTTCCCTCATTCAGGTCAGGCTGTTTCATTTGGTCTTTAAAGGAGGGACGTTTATATTTACAAAGGGCTTTGTAAGGGTGATAGTGTCTGACGAACAAATGAGGCATCCTGTGGAACTGTAGGCACGCCTGTGTGCAAACAGACGGATAATGATTTAAGACAATCTATTTAACTGCTATGGTGTTGCTTGGAAGCACACAAACTTGAAAATCTGAGCTCAGGAACCAGTCGGTATCCCCTGGGGAGGATTTAGAGTTATTATTTTTGTAGTACTTTTTAAAATTCCTTATAGAGGAAAGGGAATGCAATCAAAATCATTCTTAATTTAATTGATCGTAATTTTAAAAATTCACCTGAATGAAAATATCTGAGGAGTTGTGTCTACAAACCTTCAGTCTTCTCATTTCTGGAAAACTTAAAAGGTTGTCACAGTCCATCTGGCCAAGAGTTCCGGAGTAATAGTCGAAAGATGCTTAGACTCTTTATTAAATTTCCAGCCATACATCAGTCACCCATATTCAGAGAGTCCAATTTGGGCCTATGCTGGTTCCTTCCCTGTCTGTTTGGAGTTGGTGAACTTCCATTAGCTCAGGTAAACTTTATCAGGGGTGTCCCTACCATAGTTTTGACTTCTTTGCCCCTCCCACTCTTCACCTGAACTTTGGGAGCTCAGCCCAGTGCTCTACTGCAGGTTCTCTGCCTCTGTTTCCATCAGGTACTGGATGAAGGTTCTATGGTGGCATTTAGGATAATCATCAACCTGACTACACCACAAGGCCAGTTAGGGCACCCTCTCCTCTATTGCTTAGGGTCTTAGCTGGGGTCAGCCTTGTAGACTCCTGGGTATTTCTCTAATGTCAGGTTTCTTGTTAATCCCATAATGGCTCACTCAATCAAAATATCCCTACTGATGTACTGGCTTTAGAGGGAATCCATTTTTTTTTTTTTGGATGATACCTTGCTCAACCTACATATAGTAGGGAAGGCCTTGAACCTTCGCCAAAGCAATGTGCCTTACCCTCTCTGAGGAGTGGATATGGAGGGGTGGTGAGGGAGGGAAGGTGGAGGAAATGGGTTGAAAGGAGAGAGTGGGCACTGGGATTGGTATGTAAAGTGTAAAAAGATAATTTGTTTTCTTTTTAAAAAATAAAATAATGAAAAAAACAAATTTAATAACCATGGGATATTTTTGATAAATTCCCAGTCTGCCTTAGTCATTTGAATCTCTGTCTATGTTGTAAATCATAGTATTCATTTTGTTTCTGT